ACAGATACACACTCACGCTCACACAACACACACACAGATATACACACTCATACACACACACAACATACACACACACAACAACCTCAATGTCTGGTCTTTTTCGCAAAAGCAGAGAGCCTAACCCTTGCATCATGACACACAGATGTCATTAAGACGTACATATCTTCAGATAATGACCATTGGCTAGCATATTTCTTCGAATCTGTCTAAGACGGCCACCAATTGTCGAGGATAAAATTTGCTATCTTTGACAGGTGGCAGTCATTCACAATCTCATTATAATGTAAAAAAAAGCAACACCTAGGGTGAAATAGGAAGATACCGTTCATATAGGTGATTGTCTTTTACGTATGTGGGAAATATCCTTAACGCCTCTGCTTCTCATGACTCTGTCCGCCATTATATTTCCTGCTCCGCAGCCGTGTCTGACGCAATGGAGGGTTGTAGCAGAGAAAGGGGCTGTAGTGTAAGCAAGTCCTAACTATAACTATGATAATTACTCTCCCTCAAGTATCAGTATTCCTTTCTGAAGAGCCGTAATGGTATTTTCGCCAGCGCTGCTAGCGCCCACATGCTAGACCAAGATTTCCCAGTCTGTAGTCCCCCCTGGCAGCCTGCGAACAAATCGATGTGTCACAGCATGGTGGGGAAATCAGGCGCTCGTCAAAATAATACAATTAAAGATACCAGCATTTTAACATACCGCTGGGCAATGTTTATCGATATTGCATTTTTTAAGCTAATTTCCTTTTGTATCAAGTTAAAAGCATTTTTCTGATTGTGTTTTACTGAGAAACATTAATTAAAGGCACAAAAATGTTAATTATTCAGTTTCCAAGGAATCTCTTTCTATAGAAGTCATCAAATATTAGCTGTCGTCATCTCACTAATTTTATCCCTGAAACCAGATGACCTTTGTTTCCTTCAATGGCAAATATATCGATTTCTATTCAAGACAGAAGCGTATCTTTTCATTGAAGGTCAGACAAATTTTAATGTTCAAGCTTTATGATGACATCAACAGCTTGATATGCCTACAAAATGACGAGCGACTGTTTCTACCGCGTCATGCCACAAATCGATGTGTCGCAGCATTGTAGGGGTGTAGTCAGGTCGTCAGTAGCAGCTTATTAAATCCTCTGTATTGTGCCAGCCCGACATGCTAATCTGAGGACAAGATCCTTAAGGTGGCTGGTCAGGTGGCGAGAAGGTGTCATTGACACATCCAGTTACTTTTGAATCCTTCGGGCTATTTTTGTGTGTCCTGTGCCTCTACTTCACTCTTTCGTTCCTTCGTAGATTTCTGTATTTTACCCGCGCATTAAATAATACCAACAGTTCCTCTCTCATTCTATTATTTGCTCACTCACTCACTCACTCACTCTCACTCACTCACTCACTCACTCACTCACTCACTCACTCACTCACTCACTCACTCACTTACTCACTCCATTGAGCTCCAACATTAAAGCCAATAAGGAATTATTGTGTTCATTAATCAATCTTTTCACTCAAGCAATCATACTCAACTAGATATCTTCAGAATGTAAAAAAGGGGTAGAAGGTGAATTTGGTGCTCTAGATCACATTTAAATGACATAATCTTTATGCGGATGAAGGGAACCACTCTGTTTTGACCAGTCACAGTATCATAAAGTCGTGAAATGTGGCAATGCGGCTTTTATGTCTTATGTTTTAGTAAGAGTCTTACGGCGCTTGAAATACAATTAGGTCACAATGGTGCCGAAAATTAAAGGTGCTACAAGAGAGCAACAAACACAAAAAAGAATGAGGAGAAATAAGAACGATAGATGTTTGATAAAACAAAAATAAAGGAGCAAACCACATGTGATCACTCATCAACCATCCACAGTAAGGCTTTTGATGAAGATAAGAGTTTGTAAAACAGAGACAGCCAGAGAGGCCAGAACATCGAAACAGTCAAATCGTGCCATTGACACTGGCCTAAAACAACACTCGTGTTTTGTTTTGTTGAAAAACTTTCTCAAAAAGAAGAGTGCTTGACGTTTGCAAGCTAAGCCACAATAATAATATTTCTATTGTGTTCAAGCAGATAAGCACACCACTTTAGGAAAGAGGTTGCTGTCTGCGACGAGCTATTGCGTTTGTGATCATTACAAAATGTGAGGCAGCGTGGTGGAATCAGGCTCTCGTCAATTTTTGGACATGTAGCGTTATTGGTATCATCTTAAAGCTTGTTCACTTGTCTTTGTTTCAATGAAATTAATATCCATTTATCTTGAATACAAGTCGAGACATTTACGAAAGAATAAGGTGGGGGGGGGGGTCACTTGTTTTTAGAAGTAAAATAAATGAGAAAATAGCGCCAAAGATTAGTTATTTCCCTAGCTTAAGAGTCCGTGGAAACTGAAAATTTATATCTTTTGTGCCTTTAATCAACGTTTTTCAGAAAAATCCACACTGGAATGAGTTTTTTAATGGGCATGAAAGGTGTTGAGCCAAAAAACAAAAATTTGATAAAAATTCTCAAACCTGCGGAAAAATGCAAGTTTCTTCACTTTGATTATTTTGACGAGAGCCTGATTCCACCACGCTGCCTCACAAATGTTTGTACATTACTACCTGTACTTTACTCTCTTTACCATGCTAGCTACCTGCGGTAGTTAGCGAAGTCTGTGCTTCTCTTCCGCCTTGGATGTGAAAGGTCATCCTCAGTTCACAATGGGCGAGCTATTATCATTGTGTGTCATTATTCCGTTTGTCGACAGTAGTTCTAATTTGCTGACCTTCGACTTCTATGGAAAAAAAGAGGATGGGGTGGTTGACTGTGGGCTGGGGTGGGGTGGGGATGGTTCGACGGGAAATGCCAAGTGTCGCAACACAAAAGGCACTTTAACCTTTAGTGCACGAGAAAAAGAAATCCCTTACACACTCTGTCTTCCCAGTGCTCTGTACGTGTAAAGTTCACTTTGCTGACAAGGCGGGACTGGATTTCACAACAGCAACTGAGTTTTGCACATAATGGAAAATGTTTATGGAAAACACTGTTTTTATGGGATACAAATGTTATTGATGTCAATAAACATTTATTTGGTTTCATCCCCCCGAGAGAGATTACGTAATGATCTGTAATCTAGAGTGCATAAAACCGTTAGGGACTAGCCCCTTGTCTTTGTTGCTGATGAAAACAAACCGGTTTCGCTCGACATTCCCAGGAGAATGCTCCATTAAAATATCACGGTTGCCATGGTTATGAGAATGACTAACAATGCGTGACCAGGTTAATTCTAGCAAGTGCGAACCAAAGTATAAAGCAAAAAAAATCTCTGAGGTATGATTTTATTCATTAATGCCTGTGCAGCCATGGGATTAAAAGAATTCCCTTGTTCCGTCAATTTAAAGAGTTTTATTTTTTTGTAACGAAAGATTAGTATATTATTAGCGTTTTTCTATGTTGATGGATGTGGTATAGGATCGTCTCTTCTTTCATTATTGTTATTTTAGAGGTAGGTTTCAAGTGGCAGGAAGGTACAACTGTTAGGTCTTTTTGTTCTTTCCCTCAGCTGATGACGTATATTGCGTCTATATTAATATACTTCTCCGCACTGGTTAAAGTATAACGAAAACAAACAAACCGTCTAAATTCAACATCTGAATCTTTTTTGGGTTATTAAAGGTTTTAGAATTTCATACTCATTTTGATGGGTGGTTGGCAGGTGCTCTGGTATGGTTTGCTCCTTTATTCCTATCTGACAGCTATTGTCCTCATCCTCCATCTTTTTTGTGCCTTTTACTCTATTATAACACCTCTACTCTTCGACATTTATATGAAGTTATTGTGTTGCAAGTGCCGTGAAGTTCTTTCAAAAACTAAAAGTACACTCTGCATTCGATTTGCTTTGCTCACCATCTCCAATTTTTTTCTGCTGAGACTAGAATAAGATCATTTCCAGTTTGGTCCTTTCGTGAGGCGGCCTTGGAAATCGCACTAATCGAAAGCGAGATCTGTTGAACAAAATCAATTATGGATGATACAACACGCAAAACAGACGAAATGTTGTCATCTTTTGTTTGTACGTTTAACTTTCTTGTGTGACAACCTTACGGATTTGGGTCCGGTCTCGACAAAAAAAAAAAAGCGGACAGAGAAAACCGCCCTGAAAAGTAAGGACCTAGAAAAGACGTAGTCATTTTGGATACACAAACGGCTTTATATTCTTAAAAAACAAGCGTTTTTTCGCCAAGTACAAGATCCAGAAGATCGTCGGAATTTATGCTTCGTCTCTCATTTCTCTGCTCAGATGCTCTTCTTTTTGAGAAAGCTTTTCAACAAAGCACGTGTGTTGTGTTGGGCCAGTGTCAAAGCCAGGATTTGACTGTTTCGATGTTTGCATCTCTGGCTGTCTCTGATTTACAGACTCGTATCTGAGGATGGTTGGCAGGTGCTCTGATATGGTTTGCTTCTTCTTTCCTATCAAACTTCTATCGCCCTTATCTCCCCTTCTTCTTTTTTTAAATGTTTGTTTCTCTCTTGTGCCAGATCCACCGGATCGTCGGAATTTATGCTTCGCCACTCATTTCTCTGCTCAGATGCTCTAAAACAAGCCTACATTATATCCTTGTATTTTACCGTAATGCAATTGTCTGCTTGGAGGGAGCCACTAGTAGGTCCTATTTCTCCCCCCCCCCCCCCCTCTGTTGTTTCTGATCACATGTCTTGTTTCGTCCCCGCGTAAGACATGACCGGTATTGTGTCGATGTGATTCTCTTTTACTTAAAACAAACAAAATACCCCTCTCCCCTCCCCAAAACAAAACAAACAAAACCGAACCAACAAACCAACCAACCAACCAACCAACCAACCAACCAACCAACCAACCAACCAACCAACAAACCAACCAACCAACCTAACAAAACTCAACCCTGCAACCACCACCCCCCTCCCCGGACTCCCCCTCCCTCCCTCCCACCTGAACATTAATTTTATCTTTGCATTTTTATCCTTCCTGTCGTTTCAGGTACAGCTGAAGTATGAGAATCGAACCCACTGTGTTAGTCCTCCTGACGCTACTGGTGTCTGGTCACGTGATGTCCTTCAGCATCGGACGCCGGACAGCGAGGAGCACCGATTTGGCGCAAGCGTTATCGATACTGCAGAGGCAGCGTCGGCGTATCGTTGGCGATGACTTTTTTAGCTCAGAGCGATTGCTGGAAGATCGGCCTCCCTTTGACCTGGAGGACATCAGCGATTGGCTGAGCAGGGCACGTGACGAGGACGACGCAGAGGGATTGGATACAGTCTGGATGTCTGATAGAGGAAACTTCAGAGATTTTGATCAGCGAGAACGACTCAACTATGACCTTTCCCCTTTGTCATCAGATCAAGATATCACAGACCAAAACGAAGACACTACTCCCTATGAAGTTGAGCCAAGCCAAAAAGAGCTAGAGAATATATTTGACACTGATGCCGACTCAAACCCAAACCCCCAGCCTCCAGCTGTTACCCCGGAGAAGAAAAAGAAAGAAGAAATGGTGGACGTAAGAGGAGACAAAAAGATCGTGCAAAAAAAATCAATTTCTGACCCGGTCGTTGCTGACACATCTTCACAGTCGTCCGACGACATTTCACTGGACACTTTGACCAAAGAGGAATTCAGAGCATTAATGAAAGCCGTGGAGAAACTGCAAAAACAGGCTGCTAAGCTTAGCGAAGAAACAAGTGCTGAGTCGTCCTCAACGCCATCTAAGGTTGCCGTTAAAGAGACAATCTTCAAAGAGGAAAGCCCAGACGGAAATACCGTGGAAGAAGTTGCCGAGCTGGTGCCGGCTCCAGAAGACGAACTCAACTCTGTCTTCGCTGACACAAATGCTCCGGTTGTGGAGGAGACGAAGGTCGTAGAACTGGAACAGCAGGGTGGACCCCAGGGAACCGTGACTGAGACTGTGGAAACAGATCTTGTTCCACTTCTGACCCAGCCAGAGACTGAGGAGGAAGAGCGGGAATTAGAAGAAGCCTTAGTAAACGGTTTAGAAAACGGAATCGAAGAGGATGAGGAGGAGGCAGCTGCTGTTGAAGCCGTGAGGAGAAGATTGCAGGAGGAAGAAGAGGTGGAGGAAGAGGAAGAGGAGGAGGAGGAAGAACAGGAGAATGCACAATTAGGAGGAATGGAGAGGCTTGACCCTAAACAACTTGCTGCTCTAGAAAACTACTGGTTGATGAGTAGCTATCTAGACAAAACAGGCACCCCCATCAAGCGCACGGCCAAACGAGCGGCCCTCATTTCTGATCCGTTCTACGGCAACAATGATATCGTCGATGACGCAGCAGAAGATGTTGTTCAAAACGACGACGAAGACAGCAGCTCTGACGTCCTTGACGAGCTGAGAGCGGGCTCGGTGCCGAGTGTGAAAGCCTTTGTGGTTCGAATCCTCGAGCTTCAGAACGAGTTGGATAAGCTGAGAACTGTGACGAGATTAGAAGACCTGGAAAACGACGAGCTCACCGACGCCTTGAACGAGGCCACGCTGGCACAGAATGAAGGCAGCGTCTCTGACTTGGAGTTTGATGCTCTCCAGAAGGCTATTCGGATAGAGGAAGCTTTACAGGTAGGAATTCAAATACCCTCGTCTCTCAATTACTTGTCTTTCTGTCTGTCTCTCCCTGTCATAGACCCACTCCTTCGCTCTGTTTAAATTTTCTTTCCCCTCCCCCTATCTCTCTGTCTCTCGGCTCCTGCTATTTATTATGTAAGTATATTTTTACTTGGAAAATAGCACCATACTAGAAGATAATAGGAATATTATAAGTAGTAAATGAATAAACGAATAAATAAGTGGATACTTTATCAATCATGTTCTTCAAACTGACAAATTATGTTCAGTAAACGAAAAGATGAGAGAACAGAAGATGAGACGCAATCATCCTGCTGGCTTCAAATGGCGAGTTTGAAACCTCTGCTTTAACTGATTGAAAGGTATGATTATCATTGAGGCTCGAGAAAGGCTCGTGTAGATAATCTTGTCTTATCATGGCCTCGGTAGTCTAATGGATAGGCTACCCGACTCTCAATTGTGAGGTTGTGGGTTCCGAGGTTAGAGGCTCGACGGTATGTACTTGGGAAAGGCACTTTACTCGATTTTATTTCAATTTACCCAGGGGTGATTAGGTACTTGGCCATAGAATTGAACGATCTTGTCAGTATGTTCGTGTTTTAGCTCCTGTAGAATGGCAGTTTTCACTGCATGCCTCAAAGGAAGGTGACATTGTTTCAGAAAGCCATTAGGTCTGCTTGGGGTAATAATAATAGATTGTAAGCTGCATCGAGCTTGCCTTTATAGAGCGGGAATTTGCGCGATATAAATGTTACTTATTATCGTCATCTGAATCTTGGATTTGCTTGACTTACTATCTTATGATAATAATAAATAGCATTTGTATAGCGCATGTCCCCACTCGAAAGAAAGCTCTAGGCGCTCTACACTATATTATTACCCCAGCAGACCATAGAACACTCAGAAACATTCTCAGCTTCCCGGGAAGCATGCAGTGCAAGCAGCTGCGCTCAAATACTAACAAACTGACAAGATCTTTCACTGTCTATAGCTGGGTACCCATTCCCACCTGGGTGAAGTGGGGGAAAATTCGTGTAAAGTGCCTTTCCCAAGGACACAACGTCGGGCCCGCGGCTCGAACCCCCGAACCCGCAACCTCACGATTACGAGTCCGGTAGCCTAACCACTAGGCCACCGACGCCTTATGCCTTGGCGAAATTCGGCTTGCTTTGTTAGTGAATGCTTTGTTGAAGTTATTTTGTGCTCGCAAACCCCTTGAAGTTTGATTGTCGAAAAATAGTTTGAGGCCTATCTTCAAAGAAAAGAAAAACTGGCGTGCCTCTGATGTAGAGCAATATAACGTGTGACAACACGGTGGTGTCAGGCGCTCGTCGGTTGTGGGCCATATGGAGGTACTGGAATCATCTTAAAACTTTAAAACATTGGTCTTGCTTCTGATGAGAAAACACTCATCTAATTGGAAAATGAGTGGAGCTATTCGCGATTGAAAGAGATGGCGGTCGCCTGGTGTTAGAAGGTAGATTAGCGAGAAAATGGCCGCTAAAGTTTAGTGACTTCTAAAGGTTGAGAGTCCGTGGAAACTGTAAATTTTCATTTTTTGTGCCTTTGATCAAGGGTTTTCAGTAAACTACAAACATGATGTGTTTCTTAAAAGGACGTAACATGTGTTAGGTCGAAAAAAGGTTAAAATTGTCAAACACAGAAAAATGTCGATTTCTAAGATTTCATTATTTTGGCGAGTGCCTGATTTTACCTCGATAAAAAAACGCACAAAACCGAGCTCAGTGTTAAAACATTTTCATTTGTGATACATGCACGCTGATCTATTGTTTTGAGTAAATAGACGCACATCAACACAGTAATGGTCATTTGTGAAGCAGCGTGGTGGAATCAGGCTCTCGTCTATTTTTGTCATATTGAGTTATTGGTATAGTCTTAAAGCTTGTTCGTTTGTCCCGCTTTCTATGAAAAAAAGACCCATCCATCTGCAATAGAAGTGGAAATATTTTGGATTGAAGGAGGTGGGTCACTTGGTTTAAGAGGTAAAATTAGTGAGAAAGTGGCTGCCAAAGCTTTGTAAATTCTAAAGCTGGGGAGTCCATGGAAACTGTAAATCTATATTTTTGTGCCTTTAATCAACGTTTTCGGTGAAATCCTCAAAGGAATGTGTTTGTAAATGGACATAAAAGGTGTTGATCCCAAAAACAAAAATTTGATAAAAATTGCTAATCAGAGAAAAAACTGCTATTTTCTTCGATTTCATTATTTTGACAAGAGCCTGATTCCACCACGCTGCCCCACATTTAGTACTGGGAAAAAGAAAGACAGACACACAGAATCAACAGTGGGAAAGTAAAGAAGTAGAACCTACAAATGGCCCCCTCCAACCACCCGTACACACGCTGCAGGTAAACCACTTTGATTCGGGGTCACAACAACAGTTTCTAGAAACCGGAGCAGCTGGTCGTTGTGTTATACCCAGTGCACGTTGTCCATTTGACACACTGGCGATGTCTCTCCTTTGGAGCATATCAAGGAAGTCAAGATGAAAAAGGAGGGAAGTAGTACTTGGGCTATCTCCATCCGCTATGTCTACCTCCCAGGCAAAGCTGTATTATGCATACTGCTTTAAGATCGTCTGTCAAGACGCCAAAGGCCATCAATCATTTGAAACAGTCACGGCTGGCAAGGATTTCCCTTCATGGAGAGCCAGAAGTTGCCATTGTGGCACAATTTCATAAAATCTTCCATTCATGTTTCATTTTGAAAGATTTGATTAAAAATTTTGCCAAAATGGTAACTGATGCCCCTTCATGAGAGAAATTCTGGCTGGCCCGACTCAACTGAATTTGACTGACTGTGCACTGTCAAAGGTGACGTGCTTTGTGAAATGTTTATTCAAACATTCTCTCTTTACTCATCATCACTAGATTGAGTCAGGAGAGGGGGGGTAGAATGTGTGTCTCATCAATAAGTCTCAGTTTACAGCATTATAAAGAAATATACGGGTTGAAGGGGGGCACAATTAAGCCCTACTTCTTTTTCCTCCCTTTAACGGTTCTTTCAATTTGTCTTGCTTGCTTTTTCTGGCAATGCTTGGCGGCTATTGCGTCGATGTGATTCTCTTAGTCAGAAAAAAAGCAAACTAACTCCAAGAAAGAAAGAAGATTGATGGCGATATGATGTATATTCTACAAAATACAGTAAAAACTTTCGCAGATATTGCGTTTTGAGAATTCATTAAAATGTGGCAACTCATTATTGAAACAAATGTTGAATTGGTCTATACCTAGATTGCTTTATTGTTAGGAAATGTAGAAGGATATAAAATGGGCTAAAGTCAGCAGAAAAATAATTTCAGAAAGGAGAAATATTTTTGCCCACAGCTTCTTAGGGAGTTGACATGGTTAAAAACGGCTTTCTTTTATCAGCTCGAAAAGCTCTTCCGCTCCTGGACGGATAGACGTACGAAAACCAGTCTCGTTTTAATAATAATATTCCAAAGATAGCAGTGTACAGGATGTTTCACTCTCAAAAATTCAAAGACGGTATTATACGGGCGCCAGAGGCACTGATAAAAACGTTTTGACCCGATTGTTTGACAGGCAGTCTCAAAATTTTCCTCTGCTCCTTCTCTATGAATTAAGAGAAATGTCACTTCCTAAAAACGGTATCAGTTTCGCAATAAAAATATTGTCGCCACAATCATTTTTAGGACTTTATTTTAGTATCTCAGAGCCAGGAGTGGCTCATCGCGGCTGTATTTTTTCAAGCACAGATTTAAGATTGAAACAACAGGCCCATCGTTTGAATAACATTGTTCCTTTCAGAGCAC